TATATATACTAAAATCCATCAAAGAAACCTTTAGATGTTACCCTAATAAATACCCAAAAAGGGGCGGAGCCAAAGCCACATACATTTCATTATATTTGCTTTATTCTGTCTAGAGAAGCTAACAAAAATATATATTTGTATATACAGTCCAAAATGAAGCGCAAAATCATTTAGGCATGACTGCTATTATTCCTAGTTTGTCACCAGCAGCTTTAAATATTTGGTTTTACCCTAAAAGGGGCGGAGTCGTTTGGAGAAATAGGAAATAATGTTACTTCTATTACTCAAAAAGGCAAAAAGTTGTTTGTTTTTTTTCCACCCACGGTTTTGAAGATGGTAGGTTTGCATTAAACACTGAGCAGTGAAAATGTTTGTTCCACGAGGATCTCTGGGAGGTTCCCTCGTTGTTGCAGCTCCTTGGCTCGACGTTGAAAAAGTTGAAACTGTCTTTGATAGAAGGTTTCTGTGAGCAACACTAGTGTTCTCTGTTACAGCACACGCTAGAGCAGGTGCTTGAAGCACTCGTAAGGCTTGATTAACTTAACTAAAATCATTAATGTAATGATATTAAAAGCAACACAGTTTGCAGCTTGAGTTTGGACACATTTTCCTTTCAATCTGAATTGTTTTACACTGACTACAAATTGTGATAAAATTTATATGTGACATACTGTAAACAGGAGAAGTCATTATATTAATGGTAAATGTCCTGTATTATGTTGGCTTATTGCCATGTTTAGCTGTTTTATTAAAGAAATAAATATGCTTTTCTCTTAATCCAAACTAAGGATTCTTTCACTCTAAACTGCAAACTGTGTTTCTGTTAATTGGACTTTTTGTACATGAACAGCAGTAACATGCACAAAAGATTTCTTTAAAAAAAGATTAGTATTTATCATTGTAAAACTGTACTTTTTCAGATGTGTGACTGGTTTTATGTTATGTCTGTGTGTGAGAGAGAGAGAATGTGTGTGTGTGTGTGTGTGTGCGTGCGTGAGAGAGAGAGAGAACGTGTGTGTGCCTGATGCATGGAAGGCCTGCTGTGTTGTTGTGAACTCGACCTCTGAAACACTGAGCTGCCAGTGAACAGTTGACGTGTGACTCTTTTTACTGGAACTATTTATTTCTCATAACCATCGAAAGTAAATTTAAACTGTTTCATAAAACTGCCTGTTGTTTGTATTTGTTGTTTCAAATCTAAAAAAAGTGCAATAGATAAATACGGTACAAAAAACCAAATGGATTTATTTAAAAAATTGCAACAAAAGAAGTCACTGACAGATTTTTTTTTGTCTTTATGAAAACTTTGTTTTTTTACAACAAAATTAAATTGTGCATTKTTGACCTGGATTGTATATTAAAGCTTTTAACATGTTTACAAAAAAAATCTTACATTTTTAGAAGGTACAGCTGATAAATGCTTTAAAGGGATAGTTCAGACATTGTGAAGTGGTGGTTTTGTGGTAAGTTTTAAATATCTTAGGTGTTCTAGATGGATTTGGAAAAAAAAACATTTTGGGAAAATTAGTTTAAATTTGGCTAATCCAATCAAGATTAAAACCAAAACAGATTGGTGCTATTTTGATCTTCAAAGGTCTGTATTTTATTTTATACACCACTATCAATTTTGCATTAAACATTTTTTTATATATTTGCAGGCACTTCCTGACTTGCCTGAAGCACTTCCTGTTTGAATGACCTAATATCTCTGCTGAATTAACAATGTAAAGCAAAACCAGAGGTAGCATAAACACTTCTAAAATAGAAACTGTATGAACCACTATGAAATTTTGATCATTAGGTTTGTTTTACGACAGCAGTGCTTCTGCTCAGACCAGTTTGTTGAGCTAACTGCTAATCTGAGCAAGCTGCCGCTATCTTAAAACACTTCCAATCTTCAAAACTTCACAGCAAACCTTAAATTAAAAACCTTGACTTCACTGTCAGTTTTGCATTTTGTGACTATTCCAGTAGAAATATTATGATGTTCCTGCTGGAATTTCCCAGATCTACACCAAAAGTGCCAAAGCTAGCTTATGTTTGAAAAACATTTCATAAAACAGCATTTGCATGAAAAAAATCTTTTGCAGTTTAAATGTTTTTTTTTTTTAAAGCTGGCTACAAACCACTTTAGTCTTTTCACAGCTGTTAATCCATAAACTTTCCACAGAACCCCACCGCAAAATGTCTAATTCTTGCCTTTAAAATTACAGTGCTTTATCATGAAAGGGAAGTACAGAAATAAAGGCGGGATAAAGATGTCAGCTGAATCTTCTGGCTTGCAGATGCTTTGCTAGGAGATGATTATGGTCCATCTTAAAAAACTAAGTTTTATTAAGAATAAAAAATTAAAAACCTTTAATCCTGAGATCTACAACATTCAGAATGATGACATTATTCACATATGAACAATTGCATTAATCAAAAAGAGCGGGAAAAGTGTCTCTTCACTTCAACAGATTTTTCTTTAAGTCCAGTTTTGGTCCCAAATATRAACAATTTTAAATGCTGTTTTTTATTTCAGGAAACTTAATTTGAATTTTCATTTTGTAAAATACAACTTATATTTGTCATAAATATAAAGTTGAAACCAGTTAACTTAGCTTAGCTTGAAGCCCCAAAGTAGCGGGAAACGGCCATTTTGTTCTTAAAAAGCTACTCAGTCAACCTACTACCAGCACCTCTAGCAATCTTGTTTGCTAGTATTAAGAGTTTTATTATGCAACACAAAAAACCTGTGTAGAAAACTAAACTTTGCTACATTAAAAAACTAAAATAGCTCAATAAAAAATTCTTCTTGGTTTAAAGGAAGCTGTGCTGGTGTCAATCTACTGTATGACTTGGCTGCCCTAACAGGTTCTCTAGGTTTTGGCACAGACATCTTGTTAAAAGGAGTTTCCACAGTTCTTGATCACACCTGTAAACCCTTCTGGTTTGGTGAGTTTTATTATTCACCAAATGCTTTTGAGGATTTCTTCAGATCTTCTCCGTCTGAGTCAGATGTGTGAATCTGAGATTAGTCACGGCAGCAAGGCTGAAACATCTGAGCAGAGTTTCATAAGTAAGACTGCACCAGTTGGACTGAGATGAGTTCTAAAGGGAGATCTTGAAGTCCGACCCCCTGTTGGTTTCTTTGCGTTTAAAGAAGCTCAGAGTTGTGAGGACAACCCTGAAATAAAGACAGAAAATGATCCTTAGTCCTCTTGGAGGGCAAAGGTTCAGACTGAAGCTCCATCTTCTCAGTTCTCAGATCAAAAGCGTCAAAATATTTAAGTGCCAAGACGGTTTCTTTGGCCCTTGGGTCTGAGCTGATCGGGTCCTCTTGGTCTTTGTCCAGTTTGCTCAGGGGAGCTGAGGCTGGCATCAGGACTTGTGGGACATCAGCAAAGGAGACGAAGCATCTCCGCTGGCCATGGGRACAGGAATGGGTCCATTCATCAGGGTGGGGAACTGCAGGGGAATAGAAGTAAATATTAAAGACTAAACCATAAAAGACCAATGCTTTATTGAAGAAATCTTTATTTTTGTACTGTTTTTAGCTTTTAAAATCCAGGGGTGTTATCAGATGTACAAGTATTAACCCCCTCTCAATTTGCTATCCTTACAAGCTGAAATTGAAAATACATTTTTAGGGATCATATCCCTTGATGTCGTATTTCCATTAGTATCTCCTCAACACGACTCGGCTTGGCTCAGCATGGTTCCATGCGGTTTCCATTCAGGATTCATGGAACCGACACCTTTTTAAGTACCTACTGTGCTGACCTGAAAATGCGATGTCAGAACCCTGTTGGTCACTGACTGGTTCGGTGGTGGAGTCACTGGTTGCGTCCAAGCTACCGTCACAGCAACAACTTCAAGGCGCCATTATTTCTTTGCAACATTTGAAACTGGAGAATGGCAGCACAGAAACCCACACCGTGGGTTGCGGTACAGGAGTTTTTGAGCTTGGTTGCAGAGGACAAAATTCAGAGCGAGCTAGATGGGTCGACTCGCAATGAAAAAGTTTTCAAAGAGATCTCGGAGCTGATGGCCACCCGTGGCTATCAGAGAACGCCAAAGCTGTGTAGAGAGAAATTAAAGAAACTCAAGTGCGATTACCGCACCATAACGGACCACAACGGAAAGAGAGGTTCTAACTGCAAAATGTGGAATTGGTTTGACCAAATGGACGCTATTTACAGCTATCAACCAGCGAACAATGGGAAGGAGAGTGACTTTACGGCCTCTTCACTGCTGGAATCCATGATGGACGATGGCGAGTTTTTTAAACTTTGTTTATTTTGTGTCATTCAATCAGAGGTGAGTGTACTTTGAACAAACAAAAATAAAACGCTGATGCCATTGCTCCGGATGCAGTAGGACAGATAATTACTAGCATTTGCTAACTGTGATCTGTTCCTGTGTACTGCTTTGGTCTGCAACTACATAAATATTGCGTGTTTTCTAAAGTTTTGTATTTCCTTTTTCTAGAACGTGTGTCGACATTATTGGTTTGGACCCTCCATTGGACCACTTGCTGTTTGGTTCACTCTTTGGGTCTCAAATCTCTGGATGAGTTCTTTCTATTTTGTGCCAAACATCTCAGAGTTTTCCTCAATGGTGTAGCATGCGTCCAACGTTTGGATCTTTTCCTACCGAAGACGTCTTTTATGAAGTTGTAGTGTTACCTGGAAAAGTTGAGCGTGGTTTTGCAGTTGGGCGGGGCTCAGAGGACCAACTGGACTCAGGTTGGACCAGAAATGGATGTTGGAGAGCAGAGGACTGGGAGTGAGTAAGAGACCAGATGCAGTCTGGGTAAAAAATAAAATAAAAGTTAAAAGAAGTTGACTTTTTACCAACAAGGAAATAAATTTATAGAATTCAAGCCAGATTTACTCAAATCAGTTTTAGTCAACAATCTGTACGAAGTTTTGTAAAAACTCCCRCTGGGTGTACCTGTGTGGTGAGAAAGGCAGGTGTGAGGGAGCCGGAGGGGAGAGCCGGGCTGTTGAGGGCGATGGAGACGAGGTCAYTTCCTGTCCGGAGGAGCGAGGAGGCAGAGATCTCCAATCCTTTGGGTTTCCTGACTTTCGTAGACGCYCTTCTCTCCGGCGCCGCTGAGCTCTGAGGCTTCTCCCGCCGACCGGACGTCAAGTTCAAAGGCTGAGACTCGTCGGTATCTGAGCTCTGGCTCCGCCCCCTCACCCACCTGTGGGCAGGGCTACGTGATTGCGAGGATGGGCTGGCTAAGCGAGGAGACCGCGTTGTGCTGTCMGCTGGCGGGGTCGACGGGAGGGAGGAGCGGCTGCCGTTGGCTACAAAGCGGATGACGGAGGAGCTGTCGTCATGGCGGTCGGATGCAGACTCTGTTTTGATTGGTCGGTGTCGTTCCAAGGAGCTCATGGTGAAGCTGGAGTAGAGCCCGGAGCGGAGGTACTGGTTCCTCTCTGCCCCGTCGTCCTCTTCAGCCTCAGGTTCCGACGTTCCGGTTGCCTCGCCGCCCCGACCCTCCTCCACCGCCGCGGGGTCCATCTTCAGGATGTCTGGGAACGACACAAACTTGTAGACGAACTTCTGTCCGATCACCTTCTTGATGATGTTCTGTGGAGAAACCAGAGACAAGTCAGCAGCTGGGAGACCAGGATCAAACTGATTTTAACTTTTAGTTCAACAAAAAACAAAAATCATTTTAAAAAACAAAAACTTCATATTTACTGAAATCAATTGTTATTTTTCAATTTTAATTCTTGACTAAAAAGACGGATCCTCAAAAATACTTTGTTTCAGAATCTTCTGAGTCCGACCAGTGGTTCTGCTGCACCTGTCCTCTGGTGTTCTGGTCCACCTGTCCTCTGGTGTTCTGGTCCACCTGTCCTCTGGTGTTCTGGTCCACCTGTCNCCTCTGGTGTTCTGGTCCACCTGTCCTCTGGTGTTCTGGTCCACCTGTCTTCTGGTGTTCTGGTCCACCTCTGGTGTTCTGGTCCACCTGTCCTCTGGTGTTCTGGTCCACCTCTGGTGTTCTGGTCCACCTGTCCTCTGGTGTTCTGGTCCACCTCTGGTGTTCTGGTCCCCCTGTCCTCTGGTGTTCTGGTCCCCCTGTCCTCTAATGTTCTGGTCCACATGCCTTCTGGTGTTCTGGTCCACATGTCCTCTGGTGTTCTGGTCCACATGTCCTTTGGTGTTCTGGCTCACATGTCCTCAGGTCTTCTGGTCCACCTGTCTTCTGGTGTTCTGGTTCACCTGTCCTCTGGTGTTCTGGTCCAGCTGTCTCAGGTCTTCTGGTCCACCTGTCCTCAGGTCTTCTGGTCCAGCTGTCTCAGGTCTTCTGATCCACCTGTCCTCAGGTCTTCAGGTCCAGCTGTCTCAGGTCTTCTGGTCCAGCTGTCTCAGGTCTTCTGGTCCAGCTGTCCCAGGTCTTCAAGTTCTTCTCCAGATGTTTCAGCTCCTTCCACAGATCTTCAACAGGATTTACATCAGGACTCGAAGTCCTCTTCAGAACTGTCCAATGTTTGGTTCTGATCCAGTCTTGTGTGTTTTGGGTCACTGTCCTGTTGGACGACCCAGGACCAAGCTTTCTGACACCAGGAAGCACATTTCTCTCCAGGAAGCCTTGATAGTCTTGAGATTCCTCCTCCATGGYTCTCTGCMGGGACCAGGTYCAGGTCTTTGTTTCATGTTTGGGTCTGTGGACACAGAGCTGWTGGGACTCCAGTTTTGTCTCATCKGTCCAAAGGACACTGTCTTCCAGTCTGGTTYTRATGACTTGGTGTCCTCCTCCATCGTCTTCCATGAAGTCCACTTTGTCTCAAACAGAGTGWTGGTGTGATCTGAGGACCTTTGACCTCGAAGATCACCTTCTGTTCTGGACTCTTTGGTTCAGATGGTCCGTCTCTTGTGGACACGTCCAGGGAGGTTGTCTCCAGTCCTGTGGACCTTAAAGTTCTGCATAATTGGAGCAGCTCCCTGAATCAGTGTGTATTTTTAAGAGGACCATCCTTTTTGTCAAGAAGTAAAACTTGTCACAGAACGTGAGGGTCTACAGCAGAGTCCTGGTCTCAGACTCGGGTCTCTGGGGACTGGATCTTTACCTACCTTGTCGTAGTAGTACCGCAGTGCTCGGCTCAGCTTATCGTAGTTCATGTTGGTCTTGTTCTTGCGCAGCCCCCACAGCTTGGCCACCTCCTCGGACTTGAGCAGCTTGAACTCCCCGTCGCTGGACGTCCAGCAGATGAGGTGCTCGTGGTTCTGGTCGAGCAGCAGCTGCAGCAGGAACTGCCAGAGCGTGACGGAGCTCTCCATGACGTCACCGCCACCTGCGAGCCGGCGAGAGAAACAAACCACCGCAGACGTGAGCTGGTGTTTGCTCAGCTCGTGTTTATCGAGGCTCTCGCAGCTGCGCGCGGCGTGCCCCGACAMGACTGCAGCTCACTTCCTGCACAAACCAGACATGGAGGAGAAATAAAACCAAACCTGTTGGATTTAGTGTTGGATGCTGAACACAAATCAGTTTTTGTTTTTTTTTTCATTTGATCACGCCTACACAGATGCTGGAGGACTTTTGTTTTTCTATGTTTCCTTGGTGAGAAAGCAGGATGTGGTCAGTGACCCTCTGCCAAGAAAAGCACGAGCCTAACCGCCATGTTTACCTGCAAACATATAAACCTCCAAGTTTTAATTCAGCTAAATATTTGGCGCAGCTCACTGACATGATAAAAGGCATAAAATCAAAAGAGTTTGTGTTTCTTGGTGAAATCAATATGAATTGAGCTGATAAAACTTCCAAAGGCCTGAAAGCAATGTCTATAAACTTAGGGCTTCAACAGTTAAAGTACCAACAAGATTTGGCAAGACATGCAATTCCATTTTGGATCTTATTTTCACAAATCGATCCTCCATATATGGCATATCTGGAGTTATAAATACTTCATTCTCGGATCATTCACTTATTTATGTTTGCAAAAGTATTCATACCCCTTGAACTTTTCCATATTTTGTCACATTACAAC